AGGCTTGACATCAGTGTGGCAAGAAGTCTCCAGTGGAGGACCTCAGGGATCTGTGCTTTTACCATTTTTATCAATGGCTTGGGTAATAGCATAGATGGTCTGTTCATCATATCTGCAGAGGATTCAATGCTGGGAGGGATAGCTAACATACCAGAGAACAGGCAGAGCCAAAAAGATCCTGAGAGGCTAGTAACAGTCCACAAACTATGGCTGAAGCTAGACCTCAGTTTTTACATATTTAAATACAATAAAACTGTATTTAAAAACCGAAAAAGCCATTATCAGCTTGTGGGCTGCACAGAAGCAGGCAGCCATGCAGATTTGGCCCAGATGCTTGGGCTAGAGCATTGAACTGCATCAAATGAAATTCAACAGGGATGAACGTAAAATCTTACATTTGTATTAAAAAAAAATTATAGCTTCACAAGTATAAGCTAGAGGCATGGTTAGAGCAGCTGTTCTGAGAAAGATCTGGGGGGTTCAATAGACTGCAAGCTCAGTGAGTCCATAAAGACTGAGAGTACAGCCAAAAAGCTAGCACCGTCTTGGGCTGAACTTTCAGGAGGAGGAGGAGGAGGGTCACAGGACTTCATACTCTGCCTCTGTCAGGCCCCACCAGCGGGCACAGTGAGCTAAGTTCTGGGTAGCTGGAAGACATCCAGAGAGGGGTCAGCAGGCTGCTGAAGGGTCTTGAACTCATGTCATTTGAGGCTTAGAAGAGAGAGGAAACAGAGGACACAAAGCTTGGTTTAGGTATTTAAAGGTCTTTCATTTGGTTCCAGAGAGAGGAGCCACGGGTGGAAGTGGCAGAGCAGCCAATTCTGGCTGGACATCAGTACAGACTGCCCCCATAATGCGAGCTGCCCACCAGGAACCTGGGCTCCCTGCTCCCAAGGTCTGATAGCAAAGGATGACCACCTGGGTATGTGATGGCGGGTTGGACGAGATGGCAGTCAAGGTCTTCTCTCCCAACCATCAAGTTCTGACTCAGCTATGGAGGGGCTGCCAATTTAGTTCAATCTGGCACACACTTACCAAGCACATGTTGTATGCAGAGAACAGGGCTCACCTCTGGGGGAGTTTTGTAATGGTCTGACCTCATGGAGTCCAGCAGGAGTACAGGCTATGTAACGTATAAACAGACACTACCATGCACAGTCAAACAAGTGAGTTCAAAATAGATTAAACAGAATCTTTAGTGAAGTCCAAGGAGTGAAAGGTCATTACCAACTCAGGGATGGGAAGAGAAATCAGAGAGGGCTTCATAGGAAAGGTGGTATATATGGGGGTATGGAAGTGAAGGGTATGAAGGGTAGCTACTGCTAAAAGGATAGCACATCAGGCAAGAGTCAAAATCAAAAAAAGATCTCAACAGACCAGAATAATCAGCTGAATCTAATCAAATTAAATTCAAGTAAAGTCTAAAGTTCTATACTTGGAAAGTCAAAACCAGCTGTGTAAGTACAAGTTAGGGAAGGCATGGCTGGACAATGGTTCCTGTGAAAGAGACCCTAGCCAACAAGGTAGCACAGTAGATTTTTAAAAAGTTAACAGAATCAAGTATAAGCCCCTCTGCTGTCTGAGTCTGCTGGCTGGTTTTCCTGCCAGGCTGGCCCTGGCAGCCCCTTCCCAGCCTTGCATCTCCTTACACTTGCCCGTTCTCTGGCCCAGGGACAAAGGCCTCCTTGTCATCCTTCTGTCTCTCCTCTCTGTGCCCTTTTGCTGGCTGACCTTTGGCCTACCGTGCTCTCCCTCCTGGACACTCAGCTCCAATCCCACCTTCCACAGGAGGCCTTTGCTGGTCCCATCCAGTGCAAGTGTCCTCCCTCAGAGATTACCTATAGTTTACCCTGCCTGTCTTTTGTAGGTACATGGTTGTTTGCATTCTCTCTCTCTCTCATTAGACTGGGAGGTCCCTGAGGGCAGGGACTGTCTCTTACCTTTCTTTGTATCCTCCACATTTAGCCCACTGCCCAACACACTGCAAGCCCAGAATAAGTCCTTGTTGACTGGCTGTAGGGCTGCTGATGGCCTCCAAGGGAGGAGAAGTGACAGAGCTCTTTGCTGGGCCCTGCTCAGACCACCTCTGGGAGGGTCACACTTAGTTCTTGGGCGCCACATTTTATAGAGCACGTTGATAAGCTAGAGCACCTCCACAGGTGGCACAGGGGATAGGAGAATTCATGCTCCCTGGGAATCATTCCAAGGAGCTGGGCTGGGGTGAGCCTAGAAGAAAAGATTCTAAAAGAACATGGCAGCCGTCCTCAAGGGTCCGAAGGACTCTCATACGGACAACATGCTTTTCCTACTTGGCACCAGAACACAGAAGAAGGAGCAACAGGGGGAAGGCGTGAAGAGGTGGCTTTAGGGTTGCCATAAAGAGAAAAGCGCTAACTCTGAGAGGGGTCCAGGAGTGGAATGGGGGATTACAAGAGGCAGGGGATTCCTCTTCACTGGGGTGGGAAAGGGGCTGACTGCTTGTTAGGGAGAATGACATAGGAGAGGATACCTGTGGCCATATGGGTTAGATCAGATCAGTGGTATGCTGGAGTCTGAAAGAGCTGATTGTTAAATTTTCAGTGTTAGCACCCACACCCTGGAAATTGGCAAATCCTAAAATAAGAGCTTAATTTATTGTTTTGCTGATTGCCTAGACTTAGGAAAGTAATGGAGAAACTGTTAATGATGCAGATTACATTTAGAAGTGTGGACATCCTCCCTTCCCCTCCCACCCCAAAGACCCTCTTGTTAAACATTTACCAGAACATTCCTGGGCTAACTGGCCTTTGAGGTTCTTTCCAACTCAACCTATGTCAACTGAGATTCACAGATAGAACCCAGGCCAAGCAGCCAGATAGCATTTCTCAGCAACCATTCACTCAAGAAACATTCAGTCTACTGTACGCAAAGTCCTGTGGTCAACGCTGAGGGGCTACAGAAATCACTAAGACATGCTTCCTGCTCTCTAGCGGCTTATATTCTAGAAGGCAACAATAATAGAACCACGGCAACAGGAAGACGAAAGCCATGGGATTCAAAATGAAAGGAAATCTGTTTATTGTTGGTGTGTGTGGCTTTGTTTTTTTAAATAAGTTCATAGCTGATTCTTAAATGTGTGACACATGACAGAAAACAGTAATGAGCACGGCATGGATCAGACATGAGAAAGCAGACGGGGACTCGGGGGAGGGGGGAGTGTCTAGGTAGAAGTTTCTCAGAGTTGGTAGAATGCCCAAGTGATTCTGCCTGGACTCTTCCACAAAAGTGCCAGTCATATGGCGGACCTGATGCAGTGTGGGATTCATCAGCTGGCTCTGGGCCAGATCACTGCCTCGGATGCTTTCCATCCCCACCTCTCATTCAAATGCCCTCCCTACACAATCCTCCTCTCTTATCAACTGCTAACAACCAGAGCACCTCAGTTTATTCTAAGGGTCTTGATGTCCTTACTAGTCCACGAAACAGGTGATACCTGGGATGAAAACAGAAGGCCTTAGTTCTAAGATAATTGTGAACTTGGGAAGAGGAGACCTGACCCTCACACAGCAGTTGAGACACGGCCTCCTTTCTCTACTCTGAAGTACTTCACAGGAGATGCCGAGGAGCTCCCACACCTGCAAAGCCACAACCTCCAAGTACAAGCATGGGAGAGAAATCTACAGAGAATGAGAAATGCTCCATCTAACAGCTGCCCAGCATTCCTAGGGTGAGAGACTGAGTAACAAGGACATTCATCAAAATAGCAGCAAGAGTAACTCCATTATAATGCAGGCTGGAGAGCCCGAGCAGGCAGGACATGGGCACCTGTGCCAGAGACAGTGAGCCTTAATAGGACTGGAACACCACGGATGGATAGGATCTCAGAGATCACCAACATCCGACTATCTGCCTGAAGAGATGAGCCTTGACCGAGAGAGATCACCTAGGAAGCAAGTGGCAAAGACTAGCCTAGTCTGGAATAGGACGAGTCCATCTTAGTAAAGGAGGCCCCAACCCAAAGCACAGAAATCTTCCTTCTCTTCTCCATGGCTCTGCAGACACCTCCTACAAGGTTAGTCAATGCTCTTTCAGGAACTGATTTAAAAGCATTTTACAAAGAATTCAGGGCTTTAAAAACAACATCTCCACAACCACATGCACACAAGCTGTAACACACACACATACACACACACACACACACACACCCCTAAACTGCTACATTGTCCTGGCTTGGCATCTAGTATCTGTTACCCTGTTTACCTGGATGCAAAGCCAAAATGCTAGGTGAAGTGACTTGCTCAAGGTGATAAAAACCACAATGCCCACTCCCTAGGCCAGTGACTCCTAAAACCCCAGGAGGCTGGCTTATTGACCAGCTCTTGGGGGACCCCACTGCCCAAGAAACTGGTGGCAGCACATGTTAACTGAACTCTCTGGTTTGCCTGCAGCACATTCCTAGAAGTTCCTAGACACGGCCATTGATGTGGATGTCCCGGGATGCTGAGCCAGCTGAGGAAGCTGCCCGACGTGCTCCAGAGACAGCCGGCTGTGAGTCTGGTTTTTGGCTGCACCTGTAATTTCACTGGCATAAATAAGGACCTCTGACAGAAAACTTCCTCTGCCAGTGTAGATGGGCATTTACTCTGCAGCTTAGAACCTCAGACGGTGGCCAGGGGCACTGAGAGCTGAAAGGACTGTGCCAAGGCCATCTGGTCAGCATGTGTCAGAAGCAAAAGCAGAACCCAGCTCTTCCTGCCTCTGAAGCTGGCTTTCTCTGTCAGGCTCTGGTTCAGTTCAATAACACTGGAGAAACAAGACCCACAAAGAGCAGGGCAGGGTGCTTTGCTCCACTGATACCATCATGACCATGATGAACATCCTGGGGAGCCTGGGACTGAAACCCGGGGATGCCCAAGCTACAGTGACCAGTGTGAAGAAGGAAGCCGAGAAAAGCATGCAGAAGATGGCTTCCTCCCAGAGCCCAGAACCGCGTGGCACATGTGGAGACAAGGCCTACTCACCAGCAGCTGAGGCACAGGGAGTGTCTTCCCCTCTTTGCTCAGGGACACGTAGGTGACGAAGGCACTGGCAGCGCGGTATCTCTCTTGGGAATGCAATGCGACAGGGTCAGCATCCACCAAGACTTCGATCTCCATGGACTTATTGCTCGTGAAGGTCATGCGTCCAGAGATGGTGATGACGCAACCTGAAAGGCACCGACATGCTGGTGAGCCCCAGGCACCCTCCCGCTGCCACCACGAGATGCCTGCTGGGGCCGACTGCCACAGGGTTTAGTTACCACCTGGCCAGTGGCGGGAGGTTAAGTAAGGACAACAGAAGAGCACACTGGTTAGCTAGAAGAAAAATACCAGAGTTACGAGGAAGAGAAGACAACCAACTCTCTCAACAGTGGTCGTCGCCCAGCTCTGTCGTGCCCGTCAGTCACCAATCATCATGTCTGTGCTCTCACTAGGGCAGTGCTGGTCACTGAAGGCAGGGAGGATGGCCCAGGGGCTCTAGGGCTGAAGGAGCCGGCCACTTCTCAGAGGGCATCAGCAGAAGCGCGCTCTGTTCCTGTGCTGAGCCAGGAAAGAAGCCAGGTATGCAAAGATCGAGTCACTGTGAGAGAAGGGATGGGAAAAGCAGAGGATCACGCTGCCAGACGGACCTGTCATCACCAGGACAACCTTTCTAGAAGATTCTGCCCTAAACCCTCAAACAAAACACTATAGATCCAAGCTCAAGACAGGCAGGTTAGTCAACAAGTCATGTTTAGTAGGGCCACAAAGAGAAGCATGTGAGGGGAAGACTGCTGTTAGGCAGGAGTGTGCAGGCAAACCTACAGACGAGGGGTTATTCTAGAGGATATGCCAGGCTTTTCTATTCCAAGGTCAGAGCTATACTTACATCAACTGCTTCTAGCCGAAATGGAGCAGTCATTTCTGGGGGGGAAGGAAGGAGCCCCATGGTCAGCAACAAAAACCATTATGAAAGCAATAAGGTTTAATGTACTCATGTTCAAGTGTCTAATAATCAGTGGGAGGACAGCAACTAACCCTATTCCCATTTCTAAGGCAGAAAGGGAAACAAACTACCTCTACTAGGTGCTACACATTTGGATCACAGCTCGGGCTTTTCACTTGAAGGCCCAGTTTAGTCACTGCTTTGGAGGCCCCAAATATAAGGGAGAAGGGTTTGGAGTCAAGAAACAGGCCAAGAACCTTCACCCTTGCAGGCACATATTAAGGACACACCCAGAGGCCAAACCTGTCCTCCTGCCCTTTACTGCTAGAGGGCTGTCCCAATTGCCATCCCTTTCAATTTGCACAAAGTAAGAGCCAACATCATTGATATTTTTAACAGTTGGAGAAACAGAGGCTTAAGGAGATGAAGCTTCTCATCCAAGAGCTCACGGCAAAAAGACGTGTATCATGGACCAGACACAAGGTCTTTCTGCTGAGCTCTTTCCCCCATGCCACAAAGCCCCAGAGCTGAGAGCACAGAAAAGAGTATCAGTATCTGGCCAAGCTCCCTTCTCATGGATACCTCCCCTGACTTGCGTAGCTAGACTGTCAGCTCTTGGAGGGCCACACTGTCTTTCTTACTGCTTCTGTTTAGATTTTCAACACTCAGCACAGTGCCTGGCACATAGTAGGTAAGCACTGAATAAATGCCAGCTAGCTAAAAGATGGTTTTACCTCAGATTTTCCTAGGGCTGGATTTCTTCTTGGCACCCAGCACACCCAGTCTTTGACTATATTGCAGTCTATTCCTGTTTACCATACAGTGGAATGTAAGCTCCCCAAGAGCAGGAACTAGGCCATTTTTAAGCCCTGTGTCCCCAGCACCTAGTTCACGGTCTTGCAAACAGAAGGTGTTTGACAAACATTTGATGACTTGAACTGAATATAGGCCAGACTGAAGAGGGGAGAGCCTGGAGAGAGGAAAACCATTTGGTGTCTGCTGCAAGTGCGTTTTCTCCAAAGAAATGAAAGACTTCCTGATATCACCATCCATTTAAACAACTACTTCGGTAATTTAACACTTCAGAAGTCCAATGAATCGGTGATCTTAGCACAGGCAGTACAGCTTCTACGAGGAGAGGAGAGAACTTGGCCTGCCCCAAGTCCTTGGCTTACAATTTTCTTCCATGTCATTCTACCAAGACTCCTTCAAGGGGTCACTACAATTGCCAGAGGTCTGCCTCTCATTCTTTTAGTATTTCATGGATATCAGTGTGACATTCAGACTGTCCAGACTCTCCATCACCCACCTAACTCCTTTCTATCAATACTACAATACAACTTTCAGGCATCTACACAATCGGACTGAAATAGATTTCTTATCTTACTCTGAAAAAACACCCACACCAAATCTGAAACCAGCCAGTGTCCTCATTTCCCCACTGTAGCATTAGAAAAACCAAAAGCCAGGAAAATGGCCTTAGAGTGCCATTTGTCAGACATATCACAATGGCCACTTAAGAATCTCAACGGTACAGTCCTGAACTGTCCGTTCTCCTTGAGACGGCCCAGCTGCTCCAAGCTCAGCACCTTCTGCCTTCCTCCCTGTAGCCATGGGACTTCTGGATTGGGCCCTCGTTGCTTCTCACACAGACCACTCTCCCTGCCTCTCCAGATCATTCTGCCCGGCCCAGCCCTGCTCCAGATCCCTTTCCAACAGAACACAAACCGCCCTGTCTGGTGGCACGTCAGTCTCCTAGCAGTCTAGCTGCTGCCTTCCTTTTCCAGGCTCGCCACACATGACTCCCCTTCCTACTGTCTATGTTCCAGCCAAGCTGGTCTTGCTTGCTTCTTACACAAAGCACTTTATCATTTGTCCCAGTGACTTAGAGGAGTCTGTCTAGAGGGACCGGCAGGGAACGTGCTCTCTCCTCTCCTCCACAGTGACCACTGGAACTTCTCTCCTACATCAGGTCTAGCCTGATCCTCCCTCAGCTTCTGTGTTCCCCTTCTCCCAAAACAATTGTATTTCTCCCCAAAAGAATCTAAGTCTCCTTCAAAGCAGGAATTGTTTCATGTCTGCCTTTGTATGCCAGGTGCATCCAACAACGCCTGGTACATAATAAATGCTTAGTGCTCATTGCTAAATGACAACGGCCAGGAGATGGCTGATGTTTGCGACAGCTGGTTTGCCAATTTCAATATAACTAAGTATGATTACATAATGTGGGCTCCTTCCAGGCTTCGACTCTGGCCTCAAAGTTGACACAGATTGCTGATTATCTCCCCTCAAGGAGACATCAAGGCCTTTTAGGACAACTTAAAATGTATCTCTCTGGAGGAGGCCTCCCTTGGTGGCTGCCCACCATTCTGTCCAGCGCCTTCTTTCCTTGCTGTGTAAACATATCTGTATTGGTCCACCTACTTAAGATGAGGGTGGTATTGACACCGACATTGCAGGTTATCTGCCTCCTCTATACATTCCTCCAATTGTGATGGATCATTCTCTTCCACAGGTCTCACAGGGGACTTGAGCCACTTTGTAGTTCCTTGGAAGAGATGTTTTAGGTCACCAGGAATGAGCTCCAGTTTTCTAGGTTTTAGGGTGACATCTCTTGGGTTGACTCTATACAGATCAAAGAAATCAGACATATGGCAGTGATCCATCACGACTGTCCTTTCCGAAAGCTCATTTTCAAGTTTCTTCATTGGTTTTTCTTTCTTTCTTTTTTTTTTTAATTTTTAGGCAATTGGGGTTAAGTGCCTTGCCCAGGGTCACATAGCTAGTAAGTGTCAAGTGTTTGGTCTGAGGCCAGACTTGAACTCAGGTCCTCCTGACTTCAGTGCCGGTGCTCTATCCACTGTGCCACCTACCTGCCCCTTCATTGGTTCTTTTGTTTCTTCCTGCCTCCTAGGTCTCTGTTCTCAGCGTTCATCTCTTCTCTTTAAGCAGCAATCTCATCCACTTACGGGCATCAATTATTACACGCCCCCAAGTCTACGTATCTGCCCTGTTAGTATCATATTTCCAACAGTGTGAGGAATTTTCCCTAGAACCTCAAACTTAACATTTCTAAAACTCATCATCTTTCCTTCAACCCTGCCTCCTCCTCTTCCTAGCTTCCATAACCCTGTCAATGGCACCTATTTTACAAGTTTACAAGTCCTGACAGTAATATTTCTAAACAATCCTCAGTCTAAGATACAGGAACCAAAAAAATGGCTACATGGATCTGAATCCTACGAGAAGTGAAGTGACAGTAAGGATAGTCTTCAATGAGTTCAGATAACTTGGCATACAATTGATGGCTGAGAGTAACAGTGACGGTACTTTACATTCATACAGTGCTCTAAGGGGGATCCTAAGGCTGGGGAAGCCTATAGACCCATTCCTTCTCCAAATGATGTTTTTAAATGCATAAAATGAAACACAGAGGATTACAATAAAAAAACACATTACATTAAAGTACAGTTTTCAAAATGTTTTTAAAATAAGAAAACAAAAAACCAAGTGCCAGCCCCTAGGTTAAGAAGAGCTGTTCTCTAAGATTAACAGAGTGCTTCCTTCACAACAATATTGTGAGAAAACAAATGCAAGCATTACTAAACCTGTTTTACAGATAAGGAAAATGAGGTTTCAGGTGTAATGACTTACCTAGGATCACAAAGCTACTGAGAATCTGAGAGAGGATCTGAACCTAAGTCTCCTGACCTGACTTTAAGGCAAGCAACTAATTGGCTATGCTTTTAAAAAAATTATCTTATTTTGATTGATATTTTTTGTTTTTACATCATATGCATTTCCAAGTATCTCCCTTTCCCCCTCCCATGCCCATCAAACCATCCCTTTTAAGAAAAAGAAACAAGCAGTTCACCAAAACCAGCCAACTTATCAGCAGTGTCTGACACTATGCATAATATAGTCCAAAATCCTCATTGTGTACACCTGGGCAGTAATGGGAGGGAGTAGAGCTCAAACTTGGTCTTTATAATGACACACCGAGTCAGAGCTGGGCTATCGGTGTTCTGTCATCTGCATTGTTACAGTTGTTGAGATCAGCAGGTCTTGAACTTTTGGGGCTTAATTAAGAACTCTTTACACTCAAATATTATTGAGGACCCTTCCAAAGAGCTCTTATTTACATGGGTTAGAAATTAAACAGAATAATTTTAACACATTTTTAAATTTAAAATAATAGTAAAGTCACTATATATTAACATAAACATTTTTATGAAAAATAAC